CTCCAAATGTGACACCCCTTGTGTTAAGGGGAGAATTCCTAAATAAGTCAGATGATCCAGGGCAGAGGGAACTTTTGTTGAAAGCTTCTGGGATTTAACAAATGATCAAGAAGATGCTAGCCTGGTGCTTTGTTTTCAACATCCATAAAGTCGGCAAAATGTCCAGCCTGACCCTGACCTTGTTGGTTGAGCTGTGGGGTGGTCAGGCCGCCAGCCCCTGCCCTGTGGGGGAGGGGTGGGGCTGGGGAGTGGACAGCTGGCCTCAGCCTCAAATTGTCCCCTGGGTGTGACCTGAGCAGCTGCCACAGAAGCAGGCTGCCAGGGGTCACCATGTTACTTCTGCTTAGTTTGGTCTAATTTTCAGCAATAAAATTTCCGCCAGAGCATGTGCTGCATGTGGGGTGAGGGGGGATGGGCACTGGTGACATCTGTGTCTGGGGACCCAGGCTGGACCGGCTCTGCCTCTTCTCTATCCAGACACATTCTCTGTACAAGCGTCATACTGCAGACAGGCGCTGGCGTTGAGGCTGGCCTTCAGGCCAGCTGAGCCCACATGAATTGAGGTGTGCGATTCTGACCCCACGGGAGGGAGAGCATCCATCTGTGTGTGGTTCAGTGTACAAAGAGTCCCTCCCGGGCTTTCCTGGGCCTGCTGGCTACTGGCTGCATGAGGGAGGGCGGTGGCCACAGGAAAGGACCCAGCACCAGGGGGTGGGTGGTCCATCACCCTGCAGAGTGGCCTTGTGCTTGCCTGCATGGCCCCTCAGCCACCTACTATCAGCTTGAGGGAAGCTCAAAAACCCCAGTCATTCAGTCATGTCTGACTCTTTGCAATCCCATGGACTGTAGCCTGCCAGACTCCTCTGTCCATGGGATTTTCCAGGCAAGAATACTGGAGTAGGTTGCCATTTCCTTTTCCAAGGGAAACACCCCTAAAATTAATTTCATTCCTTGTTACTGCTTTTCGAGAACTCCTCTCCACCCCCACCCCCGACCCCAGCTTCCATGAGGAGGGTGTCACAGCTGTGGTCATCTTCCTTACTTCAGTGCCTCCTGAACTGGAGTTGCATCAGATTCCCTTGGAGGGTTTGTTGGGGTTAGGGTTAGAGTAACAGATTACTAATAGAGTAATGCTCAAAATTCTCCAAGTCAGGCTTTGACAGTACATGAACTGTGAACTTCCAGATGTTCAATCTGGATTTAGAAAAGGCGAAAAAACCAGAGATCAAATTGCCAACATCCATTGGATCATCGAAAAAGTAAGAGAGTTCTAGAAAAACATCTATTTCTGCTTTATTGACTATGCCAAAGCCTTTGACTGTGTGGATCCAACAAACTGTGGAAAACTCTTCAAGAGATGGGAATGCTAGACCACCTGACCTGCCTCCTGAGAAATCTGTATGAGGGTCAAGAAGCAACAGTTAGAACTGGACATTAAACAACAGCTTGGTTCCAAATCGGGAAAGGAGTACATCAAGGCTGTATATTGTCACCCTGCTTATTTAACTTATATGCAGAGTACATCATG